AACCATCCTGCTGTGCGATTCTGTAGGTCCTATACATCACCTTTATCACAGAGGTACCTTCACTACCTCTGAAAGACCCACCTTTGACCATAGACAATATCAAACATATTATGTTTATTAGAAATGAGAATTCTGGAACCTGTGCCTATTTTGGATGATCAGTAGCCTGGCATTCTTGAAGTTGTTACGTGCTTTGATAGGTACTTTGAATCATTTCTTACTCAGAGACCCTATAAAACAGAGTAGAATTGTCCCCATACGGTTTCTAAGTTTGCAACCTTTAAGGGACAGAATTACAAGGTCTTTTCTCCCACAGAGAATCTGGTAGCTGTGAATGCTGCCTTTGGGTTAGCACCTGAGCAGTTAACCAACATACTATAGTCTCCTTACTCTTGAAGTGGAGGTAGTGGTGGTGGTGTATAGTCAAGTTGGTTCTGACCTATAGTGACTCATATAGGGTTTCTGTGCTTATGGAAACAGAAAGCCTCATCTTTCTCCCACAGAGCAACTGGTGGACTTGTACTGCTGACATTGTGGCTAGTAGCCCAACACATAAGCCACTACACCACCAGGGCTCCTTATTCCTGAAGTGGTGATAATGGTGGGGTGGTTGTGTGCCATGGAGTAGATTCTGACTCATAGCTATTCTATATAGAGTTTCTGAAGCTGTAAATCTTTATGAGAACAGACAGCCTCATCTTTCTCCCACAGAGCAACTGGTAGATTCGAACTGCTGACCTTGTAACCACAAGGAGCCCAGTTCGTAATCCACTAGTTACTAGGACTCCTTTATTCTTGAAGTTGTTGTTATTAAGTGCTGTGGGGTTGGTTTCAACTCATAGGGTTTCTGAGAGTGGCTGGAGAGTTCAAACCTCTTAATTTGCAGTTCAAACTAACCTGTGGACCAGTGCTTATCCTAAAGCATAGCCTCACACCAGTAAGGTGTACTTTCTTTTTACTCTGTTTCTGATCTGGTTGGTTTTCTGCGCCATCTGCTGGAAAATTGTAAATTTATTTTCAGACATATCTAAAAATACTGAGAAATCCCTAAGAGCCAAAACTTGACAGAACTGCCTAGTGTTTTGGGGTCTTGCAAGTTTTCTGCCTTTGGCAGAGTGCAGTCTGACCACTTTTCTGTCATTCATTCTAGGGGGAAATACTTGAGTTTTCCATCTCTGACATGTTTCTGCCTTATACAGATTGTGGCTTTTGTAGGTTTTACTGTATAAAGAATTTTAAAAATTGGAAAACCACTGCTTATTGAAGGAAATAATAAAGGAGAAAACAAAATGCCATAAAAACATATTATTGATACCTCATGGTATTTCCTCCTGTGGAGCGGCTGGTAGTTTCGAACCACTGACCTTAAGGTTCGCAGCCCGATTCGTAACCACTGCGCTACCAGATGAGGCTTTCTCCTCCCATAAAGATTTACACCCTCGGAAACCCTGTACAGGGTCACTATGGGTCAGAACTGACTTGACGGCACTTAACAACAACAACAACATGGTATTTCCTACACACACACACACACACACGTATATATCAGAACAAGGAATGTATGAAATATGAATCTGGGAAATTTGAAGTCATCAAAAATTAAATGGAACACATAAAAATTGATCTCTTAGGCACCATTCATCTTCAGGTTTCCATAGTGTGGTGGCTTGTGTGTTGCTGTGATGCTGAAAGCTATACCACCAGAATTTTAAATACAAGCAGGGCCACTCATGGTGGACGGGTTTCAGCAAAACTTCCTGACTGAGACAGACTAGGAAGAAGGAGAGGCAGACTATTTATGAATGGTTAGCCACTGAAAACCTTCTGAATAGCAATGGAAATTAATCAGCTGTAGTGCTGATAGCCGAAACATTGTGAACAGCAGCAAAACATTGTCAGATGTATTGTCAGAAGATAAAGCCCATAGGTTGGAAGGCTCTCAAAATATAATGATGGACAGCTCAATAGAATCAACCAAAACCAAGCCGGGGGCAGCTGGAATACTGCTCATAGGCAAGGTCAGGCTGAAGCTGAAAAAGTTAAAACAAGAGCTAGAATATGACCAACCTGAATTTAGATACCCACCTGAATTTAGATTATATCCCAACTGAATTTAGATACCATCTCAAAAACAAATTCGATGCATTAAATACTAATGGCCGAAGATGAGAAGAAGGAGCTCTGGTAGCATAGTGGTTACGTATCGGGCTGCGAACCTCACGGTCAGCAATTCAAAACTACCAGCTGTTCCACAGGAGAAAGATGAGGCTTTCTGCTCCCATAAAGATTTACACCTCGGAAATCCTGTACAGGGTCGCTATGAGTCAGAACCGACTCCATGGCATATAACAACAACAACAAGATGGGAAGCGTTGTGATGACACCAAGAACATCCTACAGGAAGAAAGCAAATGGTCATTAAGATGATAGGAAAGAAAGAAAAGATTGAAATGGAAGAAATAAAAAAGAGCATTTCACTATCTATCTTAAAGTAGTACAATGTTGTCTGTGATAGGATAATACCCAGATACCTACAAGGAAGAACAGTTAATACCACTATTATTCAAATTTGCTAACCAACCGCTGAAGCCAATAATTATGAAATTGAAGAACCAACCTTCACAGTCTAAAAGTCATCAATCATGCAATCAAGATGCATTGATAATTATTGGTAATTGGAAGTGAACATTGTAAAAAAAGATCAATAAAAAGACAAGAAAGAAAGAAAAGGCCAAATGGATGACAGAAGAAACTCTAAAACTTGCTTTTGAATGTAGAGAAGCTAAAGCCACTGGAAGAAATGATGAAGGAAAAGAGCTGAATAGAAAATTTCAAAGGGAAGTTCAAGAAGACAAAATATTATAATGATATGTGCACAGACCTGGAATTAGAAAACCAAAAGGGAAGAACATGCTCAGTATTTCTCAAGCTAAAAGAGTTGAAGAAAAACTTCAAGCCTCAGATTGAAATACTGAAGGATTCTATGGTAAAATCAATGACTTGCCTATCAGTTTCTTATACTGTGGTGGCTTCTGTGTTACTGTGATGCTGGAAATGATGTCACTGATACTTTCAATACCAGCAGGATCACCAATGGTGGACAGGCTTCAGCAGAGCTTTCAGATTAAGATAGACTAGGAATACGGAGAGGTGGACTGCTTCTGAATGGTTGTTGTTGTTATTAAGTGCCGTCAAGTTGGTTCCGATCCATAGTGAACTTGTATAGGGTTTCCAAGGAGCAGCTGGTGAGCTTGAACCACTGACCTTGCAGTTCAGGCGGCTTTGTATTCCAGCACATTAACTCACAGTGCCATTGTTGTTGTTGTGAAGTGCTATCGAGTTGGTTCCGATCCACAGCGACCCTGTATAGGGTTTCCTAGCAGCAGCTGGTGAGCTTGAACTGCTGACCTTGCAGTTCAAACGGCTTTGCAGTCTCGCACATTAACCCACAGTGCCACACCAGGACTCCTACACTGCCATTAAAACCTTATAAATAGCAGCAAAATATTGTCAAATGTAGTGTCAGAGATAAGCCACTTGTGCCAGAAGGCACTCAAAATATGACTGGGGAAGAACTGCCACCTCAAAATACAGTTGGTTATGATATATGGAGCAAAGCTTTCAGGACCTTTCTTTTGCTGGTCAAATCAAAATGAGAAGAAACAGCTCCAGTATGGTGAGGGTATCCTTAAATCCTTAGTTCCACTGTAGTCTTTAGTCTTTGTTGTTGTTGTTGTTGTTGCTAAGTGCCATTGAATTTGTTCCAACTCATAGTGACCCTGTATAGGGTACCAAGGAGTGGTAGATGGGTTTGAACTGTCGACCTTGCAGTTAGTAATCCAGTGCTTATTCTATATTGACACACCAGGACTCCTTTGTTGTTGTTATGTGCCGTGGAGTCGGTTCTGACTCATAGTGACCCTGTATAGGGTTTCGGAGGCTATAAATCTTTACGGGAGCAAAAAGCCTTATCTTTCACCCGTGGAGCAGCTGGTAGGTTCGAACTGCTCACCTTGTGGTTCGCAACCCGATTCATAACCACTACACTACCAGAGCTCCTTCCAGGACTCCTTAGCCCTACCTAATTTTTACTTCCTTAGCAATTCATTTCAAAATGGGTCCATAATCACAGGCATAGAGGTCAGGATTTACAATATTATCACAAAATAGAGAAATTTAGCTTAAAGGGCCATAATAAATAATTAGCTGCCCCATGGACACAAATATGGATCTCTTCCAATTGACTGTCCAGGTAGCTCTCTAGCAAATTTTTTGGCATAATCAAGTGTGCACCTTTAGACATACAAGCTTGCTGATGACCCTATTGAACTACTGAAGAGTGGAAGAAGGTGAAAGGCAGCAATAAAGAAATGGGCTGAGTTCAACCACAGTCCATTGACCTCTGTTGACCTGGAAATGAGAGAGAGAAGAGGAAGGGCTGGTTGGTCCAAAGTGTGATGAGATCTGGGGACACCTAAGCCCATGGACAAGGACATAGCCACAAAGGGCTAGAGCTGAGAGTGAAGCATCCAGCTAATACAAAATGAGGGGAAACTCACAAGAACATCCAAACTTGAAGATAGTACCCATTTGACCTAGCCTCTATGACTTGATAATCAGAACTAGATTAGAGGAAAATTTTAAAAAAGAAATGTTGATAATGGAAATTAGGGTAAAGTGTTACAATTTGATGAACCTGACCTATATGCATGGAGGCAGTAACTCTAAATACCAACAGAGAGGGAAGGAGTCTTCACAACAAGTAACAATGCTATCCACTCTGTACACAAGGTAGATAGGGACAGGCAACTAATACATTGGCTACCTAAAATGAGGGGGTAATAAAGACATGAAGTGAGTGCTTACAAGGTTTCAAAAGGGAGTTTAGTTTAAGAGTGAGTGTGTGGGGGAAGAAATAGCCCCTACTGAATAGTTTTTATCTTGTCTAGATGGGTCTGTTTAAAAGAGATGGGGAGGTCTTCGTCACTCGCTGCCTCACGCAGGGCAACCCAGTTCTGGTGTCTGGCAGTGAATTAAACAGCCACCATGTCAAGCAAAAAGGCAAAGACCAAGACTACCAAGAAGCGCCCTCAGCGCGCAACATCCAATGTGTTTGCCATGTTTGACCAGTTACAGATTCAAGAGTTCAAAGAGGCCTTCAACATGATTGATCAGAATAGAGATGGCTTCATCGACAAGGAAGATCTGCATGATATGCTTGCTTCTCTTGTGAAGAATCCAACTGATTCATACCTCGATGCCATGACGAATGAGGCCCCAGGCCCCATCAATTTTGCCATGTTCCTTACGATGTTTGGGGAGAAGCTAAATGGGACAGATCCGGAAGATGTCATCAGAAATGCTTTCACTTGCTTTGATGAAGAAGCAACAGG